TCGCTACAGAGCAGGACGCAGGGGCACCCATTTGAATCTATATGGAGCAGGATATGGAGCAGGACGCAAAGGCACCCGTTCTTATCTGGTGAATGGTGGAAACGGCCAAATCATTCGCTACAGAGCAGGACGCAGGGGCACCCATTTGAATCTATATGGAGCAGGATATGGAGCAGGACGCAAAGGCACCCGTTCTCAACTGGGTAGTGGGGGCGCCCATTTGAATCTATATGGAGCAGGATATGGAGCAGGACGCAAAGGCACCCGTTCTCAACTGGGTAGTGGGGGCGCCCATTTGAATCTATATGGAGCAGGATATGGAGCAGGACGCAAAGGCACCCGTTCTCAACTGGGTAGTGGGGGCGCCCATTTGAATCTATATGGAGCAGGATATGGAGCAGGACGCAAAGGCACCCGTTCTCAACTGGGTAGTGGGGGCGCCCATTTGAATCTATATGGAGCAGGATATGGAGCAGGACGCAAAGGCACCCGTTCTCAACTGGCGAGTGGGGGCGCCCATTTGTATCTATATGGAGCAGGACGCAAAGGTACCCATTTTCAGCTCGTACATGGTGGAGCAGTCCAATACAGATTACCTAAGAAAGATGGCGGGCTCAGAAACACTATCATCAGTAACGGAGGCATCGAAGCTGTAGAACCTTCGTCTTCTGGGAAGTGGTTGTGGAACAGCGCTTCAGGTGTGCGCACCTCAATACCTTGCTCTCCATACGGCAACTCTTCAGTGGTACCACTCCGAAAAGAAAACATTTTCATCACAAACATGCAATGTTGGAAAGTACAAGAGTGAAGATTTCAGCACTCTGAGATAATACGTTGTAACACCTTTAATGTCGTTTTTACCACATGAACCTTGTAAAAGTCATTGTTGCATTACGTGATTAATCGGCAGACATTTGAACCCACACTGTTCTCTCTTAAAGCCGTAGAACATTGGAAACTCGTCTGCAGAGATGATACACACTATCGATGAAGAGCGAGAGTACTGACATTCGAGCACTGTTGGTTTTTCATTCAAAAACGTATTATCAATTGCAAAAGAAAAACCTAACGGTGCTCCTGGGATGTTCCGTGCAATTTTCGACGAATTATATTAGAAGTAGATTCGTTGAACGATTGCTATAGCTTGAATATCTTACAACCGTAAAGATGGTAATCCTTGAGTTATGTACGTGTCCCTTGCGCACATGTTATTCTTTCCAGGGAAGGGATGTGCAGCACCAAGCCTAAAGGAAACATTCATGGAGAATTCTTGATTCTCCCCAACATGAATATGCGAGAAGATTATGTAGTTCCCTAAGAGAGAAACCTGCAAAAATTACCCTATGGATGGTCGATGGTAGGTTGGGCGGGCACAAGGGAATACATGGAATGAACTGAAATTTGAGGCGATCATGTATCAGGTAGTACAATGAAAGAATTGGGATGAAAGCGTTCAAATTTGGAGAATACAGGCAAAATGATCGAAAAAAGGATGTGTTGTACATCTACTCTCATTTTTGGACGCAACAACGTACATCGAGGCAATCATGAAGTGTAACTTCAAGAAATGCGCGGTTACCTTTCTGCCACGGCTAATTCACCTGCGAACTACTACCTGACCTAAGGATGCCATGACGCCCCTTGAGCCCATTAATACTTATAACACCTGAACTTCTATTGCACTGCAAGTAATCAAAGACGAAAATTTGCCTCCATCTAGGGTCCTGTGCCCTGTTGCGCTTGAAACGAAATATATTCACAAAGCAAAGATGCGCACGTGCCCCTATGGGGTCGGCAGCTCGTGAGGTACATGCGTAATTCCGAAGTGGGTACCTTGTCTTACCACAATCACGACGTCACGTTATGGAGTTCATAGTTGTCGATCACACGCGCGGTTAGGCGATTAGCCGATTCGTCTATAATGAAAAATTCACTATAGATCAAGCGAGAACGTGAGTAGGCGATTAGGTGACTAGGCAAGGAGGACTACATATGTATCGATTGGTTTGCTCCGCCCGTAGGGCGTTGTAGGCGAGTGAGCGATCAGGCGATTAGGCAAGGATACGTTGATTGTTGCTCCGCCAATTGAGAGATTGCCTAATTGCGTGAACG